GCCCACGATTTCTATTCTCCCTTAAATATTAAACGACTATTTTTCAAAGAACTTCTTGTAGTGTTTCTTGTGTGCTGCCTTCATTTTTCCACTCACTCCCAGCTCCCAAAATACTGAGTCTTGAGTTCATTTGCCTGACTTAGGGTGGGGAAGGTAGAAGACATTTTCAAATTTATAGAACAGCTATCTTCCCCTGCTCACTCTAATCCTCTGAAGATGCCAGCTCCTTCTGCTCTGTGCCATGTGGCTGCTGATGTAGGGGAGTCCTCACCCACAGTGGTGGCCAGAGTGTGACCTCAGTGAGGGCTTGCAGCCATGGTGGCCATGTGTTTCTGCTCAGGATTGTGAAGCTGATGTGTTGTTCGGACTTGTGATCCCCGCACTAAAGAAGTAGAAGCAGGAAGATCAGGAGTTCAAAGCCATTCTTGGCTGCAAAGCAGATTCTGGGACAGCCTGAGCTACTTGAGACCCAGTATAAACTACAGGAACTTAACCCTGAAGGTACATTGCCTGCTAGGGTTGTCTTCATTCAACAGCACATCCTTGCATGCTGGCTCTTAGCTTTGTGGCATTAAGGCAGTGGTACCAGGTTTCCACTAGCACCGAGGGAAGGCTCTAGCAGTCTCTGAAGGGGGAAGAAGGTGACCAGGGACAAAGCCAGGTGTTTTTGCAGGAACTGGGGCTGTCTCTGGGTGTGCACCCTTATATGGTATAGCCTGGGCTCTGCCAAGCTGTTGACCCTCTGCTGCCAGGCAGAAGCTATGGTAGAGGCTCTGTGTCCACTCTTCACTGCATAGTTTCCGGCTGCCTGTGGCTGCTAATCAGTTCCCAAGGGACTGGGCAGTCACTTGATCACGTGTGCCTCCTGTGTTAGCACGCCCTAGTCCAGTTTCCTTACCCTGTGACAATCAGAAGGAAACCCCAAGAGTTCATTTCCTGGGCAGACAAAAAGCTCTATCAAGACCAAGTCTCTTCATGACCTTTAGTCTTGGTGGACATGGGTGATTGTGTGCTGCTGATTTGTGAGGGGGCCTGCAAGCTGGGGTCCCCCATCCATTCAGAACATTCTAGGAGCAAAGTTGTGTAGGTATGAGAGGTAGTCTGTCCCTTCCAAGGTTCACAGACATGTGCTGCTGGCTGGCTCCCAGCTTGTACTTTTGGAGAGCAGTCTCCATGAAGCCCCATGGTCTCTGAGGTGAGCTCACCCATCTTCCCTGCCAGCCAGGAGCACCAAGGCTCTTGGACATTCTAAGCTCAGTTCTTCAGTAGAGCAAGAGGCTGAGGAAGTTAGGGAGTGCATTGAGGTTCATTACTATTGAAGGGACAAGGTCAACCTTCCTCCTGTCAGTGGTGTGGACCGAAGCTAGGGGCACATCAAAAGTTGCCCAGACCTCTCCCTGTCCTTAGACTCGCTGGATAGCAGATTCCGAGGGTGGCCTTGGGCAGAGCTGACAGCAGTCGGCCGGGAGTGGGCACAGAAGCCTGCCTTGGTGACTGCTGATACCAGACATGCCCATCACCACACCACACCACACCCACCTGTTGCTCCGTGATAGGGCTGAGTGGGATTAGACTACTCACTCTTGGCTCTGACCCAGAGGGTGAGTTGGCTAGAGACAGAAGCCTGGAAGAGTGTCAGCACCCACTATTAGAGGCTTCACTGTGTGGTCAGCAGCTTTACACTGAGCATCAGTACCGCTGTTACAGTACTCACCAAAACCTGTGATTGATTTGTGGGGTCAGTCTGGGCAGAACCTTGAAGTCCAGTGATGTGGAGTGACAGTTGGTTTTGTCCTGGGACTGAGACATTCCTGTCTGGACCTGTCTAGAATACAAGACAAAGCCAACACATTGCCTGGGGAGGTGGGGGTGGGTGAGGTGGGGAATCTGAACAAGGGAAGCTGGAGTTGAGTAGTTCAAGGTAAAGGTGATTCTTGAGACAAGTTCTGTCCTTTCGAGACTCTTAAGGCCTGTGCTGACTTGGCATCCCATCCATGTCTTGAAGTCTCAGAAGCCATTGTCCAACAGTTCACTGCGGCGGTGTGATCTGGTGTCAGGCCTGTTTCCACGCAGTTACGGCTTGCAGCTGTAGCACATTCCATTTCTGAAGTCCAGCAGTCTCCAATCATTTCAGGGCCTCCATTGCAGATGCTAGATCAGCTGCCCAGCCTCCCTGGGGTCTAGAGCGAGCTGCTGGCCTGGAGCAATGTACCTCCCCTGATTCTCAGGCTTCCAGGAATCCCAGCCTGAAAATGCCAGGAGATGCTACCATCCCACCAAGGCTCCAGCCCACACTCGGTGTATCTCCTCACACGTGTACACCTTTTCATGTCATGCTAATGCAGGGGCTACAGGGAGACAGACCCGAGTTTCTGATTGCCTCTCTAGTAAATGGGCCTGGGTTTCCACCTGTCAGCTGGTGCAGCACTGCCCTCCTGTGATGAGTGTGGGTATTACAGGGAACCTCGGCACACACCAGCTGCCAGTGTCTCAGGTGCTGTAGCTTCCTCTTTCAAATGCTTTCCACAAGTCTCTTATGCCTCTGTTTGAACAATGATAGGTAGGACAATATTTTTTTTTGTGTTTTTCAAATCTTCATGTTTGACAGGTATATCAAGGGACTGAGTTAGGAGGTCATGAGGTCTAGGCCTGTCTGAGATACATAACAAGCTCAAGACCAGCCTGGGCACTTAGTGTGTCCCTGTCTCAAAGTGAAAATGAGGGTTGGGGATGTAGCTCAGTGGTAGAGTGCTCGCCTATCAGACACGAAGCCCCAGGTTCAATCCTCAGCACTGACTTCAAAGAAACACAAAACCCCACTCTCTGGTACTGGATTTCCCCACACCACCTTCCTGATCTTGTCCAGTGGTCCTCATTTTACCCGGAAGTCTTATCCACAAGCCAGTTTGAGGTCTGTTAACAGCCACTTCCTTCCCATTTGCCTCTGTACACTGTAAGCTTGGGAAGGAACTGGAAGGAGTAAACCTCACTGGGGAGCCCAGTCCAGAAACGACTCAGTAAGCCTCATCCCTTCCCAGTTCCTACAGCCTCTGCCTCAGTTTCTCATGGGTCATGCGGGTGTCAGGCTGAACCAAGCTCATGAATCTGCCTGGAAGAATGACAGGATGGAGAAGAACAGACAGGCAGGCCTGCTGGGGGGATGGGTTGGTGAGGGTCCTGGGGTGCATAGACAGGCAGGCCTGCTGGAGGGATGGGTTGGTGAGGGTCCTGGGGTGCATAGACAAGGCCTGCTAGAGGGATGGGTCGGTGGGGGTCCTGGGGTGCATAGTGAGTAGGATGCCTGACAGAGTCAAGAGGGAGGCAGGACCACTCACAGCCATCTTCAGGTGAACTCAGAGTGAGCTGTGAGTTCTAGGCAGATGTCTGGTATAAGTGAATGTCAGTTTCTTTTCCTATTGCTGTGATAAAATACTCTGACCAGAAGAATGTAAAGGAGAAGGGGTTTATTTTAGCTCACAATTCTTGGTGGGAAAGCGAAGGAAGACAGCAGCTGCTTGAGAGAGCTAGTCACGTGACACCCACAGTCAGGAAGCAGAGAAGGATGAGTGTGTGCTGCATCCCACTTCCCTTTCTCCACTGATACAGTCCAGGTCCCAGCCAGGGAATGGTGCTGCCGGGCGGAGGGCAGACCCTCCCACCTCCATAAATAAGTAGAATGTAATCCCCACAGGCAAAGCTCTCTCTCAAACAATTCTGGGTTTTGTCAAGTTGATAACACCTTCACAGCAACAGGTTTGTTTGTTTTTTTAAGAGACAGGCATTTGCTATGTAACTAAGCCTGGCAATCCTCCTGACTCTGCTTCCCAAAGTGGTGAGTTCTTGTCCATGTTAACCGCATCACCCTGTCTGTGTTGGCCACAGGCTGCTGGCTGGTGAGGAATGGAAGGAGCAGGAGAACCTGGAGCCAAGGAGGGGACAAGGTGGAGGGGAACAGGACAGGAACCAAGGGCTGCATCCAGGGTGTCTGGGAGAGAGGAGGTGGCCATGCCCTCCCCATGGCCCACCTCTGAGGAGAGCAGCCTCGCTAAGGCTGCTGAGGTCCCCACCCGTTTTTGTGTGTTTGCACACATGTGGGTGTTCATGCACGTGTGCACATGCATGTGGAGGCCCAAGGTTGATGTGGGGGATCATCTTCAACTTTCTACCTTACTTAGTCAGGGTCTCTCAATCAAACCCAGAGCTTTCTGATAAGGCTAGTCTCACTAGCCAGCTTGCTCTGGGATTCCTTTGTCTGTGACTTCTGAGGCTGGAATTAAAGGTGGGCCACCCTGCCCATCCAACACTTGTGTGAGTTCTGGAGGTCTAAACTCTGCTCCTCATATTTGTAAGCCCTTTAATTATGGGGCTATCTTCACAGCCCAACATGCTGGTTTGCTGGATGCCTCAGGCATCCAGGGGAGAAGGTTGTGGGATGCTGAAAGGGAGAACAGATGCCTACAGAGGTGGGGGAGGGGCCTTGAGCGAAGCTGAGGGCAAACGGAGGAAACCTGCTAGGAGTGGCCAGAGGACATCTGCAGCCCCGGGGGCAGGGAGGATCCAGACTGCAGAGACCCAAGGCAGAGAGGGAAGAAAGGACAAGGCCCTCTTGGTATTGCATTGTGATGGAGTGTACTGGTCCCCGGGGAAAGGAGCAGCAGCTGTGAACCTGGATGTGGGGGGGAGGGAGGTTATACAGGTGAGGGTGTGGGTAACAGGTTTTCCCAAAGGGGTAGAGTTTGGAGCTGATGGGAAGGGGCTAGGAAAGAGGTAGCTGGTAGAGCTGTGGCATCTGTAGTCAGAGGAGGCTGAACCTGGAGATGCATGGGCATCCGCTCCACCCCTCCCCAAGAGGATACCAACCAGCACATGTTGTGACCCAGGCATACACAGGTGCTGTCCATCACCCATGGACAAAACAGAGGCGGGTGGAGGATGTTTTCACTTGCTCACGCCACCCCCCTGCTGGACGGGTATGCAGGGGCACACATACACACTGATGCTTCTTCATTGCTGTTTATAGTGCAGGTCACAGGCGGTGATGGTGGAAGAGTTCCTGATGGCACACAGGACAGGAATGCCTCACATCCATGAGGCTCCGCACACAGAAGGGGAGGAAGCAGCAGCCCAGGAAGCACCTGCAGCCTCAGAAGCAGTGTGTGTTCACCTGAGCAGATTGCCTGTGCTGGCCTGCACCCTCATCGCCCCTGAGCAGAGGTCCCTGTGCTGGCCTGCACCCTCATCGCCCCTGAGCAGAGGTCCCTGTCCTCAGTTCCTTGGGGTGGTTCTGTAGAGCAGGACTGAGAGCCATACTGTGCCTTCTCTTTCTTGACAGTAGTGGTGATGGCAACCTGTTTGGCCACTTGCCCAGCAGGCAGGCATTGTCCATCCCCACTCCCATCCTCTGTCACCCAGGCAGAGGGCTATCTTCTCGAAACCCAGTCTGGGGCCATCCTCTGGCCCTAGTTCTGTCACTCTAGCTGTCTCCAGCTGCATCTCAGTCCCACCCCCTCCCTGCCAGGTCCCCAGTCCCCACTGCTTACCCAAATATAAAGAGGCCACTGCATAGCAGCCAGGTGAGGATGCCTGGGACAGGGGTTGTCACCGTGATGATGTGGCTCCCACAGAAGGGACATATGGTCTGCATCGGCATGGAAGTTGTCACCCTCGGCACTCCAGTGAACATGTCTGGGGGCGGGGGTCAGATCAGAGCCTCTTCCTCCTGTCTCCAGCACCCGCTGCCTGGGCACCCCTGTTATATCATGACTCATCTTCCCCATGCTCACCAATGCACCCAAGTCACCACGTACCTGCCTATCAGCCATATGATCTGCCCTAGTTAATCCAGCTAGCCCAAGTTAATCCAGGGCCTAGGAACCCTGGAGCCTTTCTGTTTCTAAGTGTGGTCCCTTTGGCTTGGGGAGTTCCTAGTACAACCTACCAGACTCAGCCAGCCCACTGTTTTTCGTTCCTTGCATTAGCTGATTTCCAGGCCCTGTGGTTAAACATCCTTAAAGCAGGTGCATGAAAGAAAAGAATGAACACACACACACACACACACACACACACCTCACCATTCCTGCCTCTTTTGGCACAGCTCGCTCTCTCCCTCTCCCCC